TGCTTCAGCTTCAGCAGGGTGCTAGCTCATAAACAGATGCCCAGCTCATGGGCAGAAGCGTCCTCTCAGGGTCTGCACTGATAACTGTCTTTCCAGCAGCTTCTTACAAGCGGGAGCTGTTGGCTGGGGCTCTCCATGCAGAGCTCCCTATGTATGCAACAAAAACTGAAGTGCTCAGGCTCTTACCATGCCCCCAGCACTGGTCTCAGGTCTAACACGGTTTATAAAGAGCCAAGTTGAATCTAAGACGCAATCAGAAATTTTGATATTACTCATGAGCTTTACCAGTTTCAATGTAATTTTTTTCTTAAATGCACTGTGAGGCTTTATATGCCTGGGCATCTTCCTAGCCTGTGAGTGAATGAGTTTTTAGAGCTGGATCAATATAACAAAAGAAAGAAAATTGCTCTTCAACCAGTGCCATGTATGGGAAAGAACATTAGTTCCTTTTTCTCTCCAAACTTTAATTAAGCTTAAATTATGGGGAAAACAGTTCCATGTAGTAGATTCCTACTGAATGGTCTCTACTCAGAACCTCTTTCCTTTAAAAATGTTTTTTAAATGTGAATCACAATGTAATACATAATTGCTGTGACTAAATAGTAAATATCTTAAGTCCAATGAATAGAATTTCCTTCCCTTCTCTTCTGTTTCTCTAAAATTGACAACATGCTATCTAACCTTTCATGTTTATTCCCCTCCCCCTGCTTAGTTAGATATCCATATTTGCACAGACATCAGACTATTAACTTAGAATCATACAATATAGATTGATTTGCATCTTTCCCCTTTTCACTTCAGCTCATATTGCTCGCACCACTTTTCTAGGAGTTGTCTTCCTCTCCCCACCTTCCCCCACCTGCTCCTACAACATATCTGGTTGCTGGGACTTGGTTGTCTGTGCATTGTATGCTGCTTCTCTGGCCAATGGGTGGACATATCTGATCCTAGAAAGGGCAATGAGTCTCTTCTCTGGGGTTTTGGGATATCCTCTGGGTGGATTGATCTGTTTATTATATGTAACAATTGGGTGTGTGAGTTGCCATTGTTTATCTTCTAGGCATCACAGAAAATTAGGTTGCAGTAAGCAAAACAATAATGCAGATGTACCTAGAGAGAAAGAGAGAAAGAGAAAGAGAGAGAGAGAGAGAGAGAGAAAGAGAGAGAGAGAGAGAGAGAGAGAGAGAGAGAGATGGAGATACAGAGATAGAGAAAGGAGCTACAGAGATAGAGAAAGGAGAGGCAATATTTTAGGTTCTCCATAAGACTTCATACTATGCCAAGGTTCTGCTCTGCTCCTGGACTTCAAATAAATCCCTATATGCCCCATTTGGCATTCCATTCTTAGTAAATAAGGGTAAACAAAACATTTTAAGACAACACATTTTTTTGAGAAAATTTACTTACTATAAGTATGATAGATAGTTTCCTATCATACTTTTAGTGAGTCATTACATATTATTTCCCCTGTGAAAAATAAGGGCAATGATGTTACTTTATTCAGTAAACTTCTTTTGGCATACCTACTTTCTGCACTCTCTGTTAAATTCTATGCTCCCCAAAAGTTGATAATCCACGGAGAATACAACAAAGAAATCAACAATTTCAGAAAATTATGTTATAGGTAATGTCTAGGGTGAGCACAGGTGATCTGGGAAGGCCAAAAAGAGGCATCAAAATATATCTGCAACCCTAACCTGGAGGTCTAACTGTTCCCTTAGACACATCCCTTGTTGGTGATTGAGGAGATTGCAGATGAACTGTCTCCAACAAATTTTAAATGATAAAATCAATTAAAAGTGGTTTTCAAATCATCCATGTACTTTGTTCCATAAATAACATCTTCATGCAAAGCAAGTCAGTCATGGGGCCATTCCCAAAGGGAGTCCTGAGGACTCACTCAACCAACCCTGCGCTGCAACTGGACACAAGGCCCCAATCCTCCCTCAGAGAGAAGCATTAGCTGGGGCTGATAAGCATCACTCAGACAGCCAGGGTAATTCAGTGACCCAGGTGGCCCTGGTGTGGCTACAACAGAAGTCTCCCTGCCCTTTCCCTCTCAGTTTTCTACCTTCTGCACAACTCCCCTGGGCTCTGTTTATATGATGCGTGGGATCTTCTTTCATTCAACCCCAGGGTCATTTTCCTGGCAGGGTCCTTCGAACTGAATACCTGGTGTGTCTATCTTTGTCTTCTTAGGGACATTTTCTTTAGACACAAAAAAACCACTCATGGATCCTTACTGTCTTGGGCTTGCTCGAGACTTGGTTTCTCTACTCAAGCATTTATGGAGTTTGCTGACTACAGGAGGATTGCTTTCCCACGCAAGACCAGTTCTTGCAGGAAGGAAGACTCTTGGGGAAGAAAGGGGTGCAGAGGGTATACTGGGGTTGGTGGGAAGATGGATTACTGAGTATTTGACAATTCTGTAAGTCAACAAAGCTTTTCCCCCCAAACTTCTTCCAGCCTAAAATTGAACAGCCCAGGTGGTGGTGACTAAACAGTTGCCCTGGGAAAGAAAGAAAGAGTTCTTATTCTTACAAAAGAAAAAGAGGAGTGACACCCAATCCCTGGCCTCAAAAGATATTATCTAACGTGAGGAAATTGTCACTGCTGTCGGAAGCCTGCAGAGAGGTCCCCAGTGGGGCAAGTGTTCAGGTGAACGGCTGCTGGGTGGGGCATCAGCACCTGGGGTAGGGGATGGCCTGCAGAAGGCACCAGGTCACCTGTATGATTGCAGCTTAGATTAGTGAAATCCAACATCGTAACAAATAGCATTGCCTGGGCACCTGCCAGCTAGAGCAGGTCCTGGCCCCATGGGAGTACAGTCTGGAAGCCTCTATGGCTCTAGGCACCAGCTCTTTAGTTGCAAGATTATAGAGCAGTAGGGCAGGCGGTCAGGATGAGGTGGGGTTTGGGTAGGACACACAAATACCAGTGTTAACAATTGGAACTGCAGTGTGGTGTTTATGGCTCAATACCCCGCCCTCCTGGCTTCTGTTGGGGTGGCAGTCTTGAATTCACGCTGATGAAGAGTTTCTCCATCCAGGCAGGGATAGGAAATACCCAGGGCTGATGTTGCTCAACAAACGCCCAGTGAATACTTAGTATGTTTCTAGGAGCTCCAAATGGCTGGCTGGGAGGCTGTTTTGACTGAAGATGCGCTGCTTGCCTGCCCTCTAGCAGCTGGAAGTCTAGAAGGAACTTGGGAAGGGTGACATGACCCACAGCACCACAGAGCCGGAGGGCAGAGCGGACTTTAGTTAATGGCCTCGCCCTTTCAGGAAGGCTCAGTGACTGGGCCAAATTCACCCAGCCGGTCACAGACAAGTCCAGCCCTTCCTCCCTGCCCAGGCTGTGGAAGATCAAGATTGCCAGTCCCAGTGGCAGCCAAGTGGCCCAGAGGCCGGGGCGCCTCCAGACGGGAGGAAAGTGCTGTATTTTCAGGAGTGGGTTGGCTTTTCTTAGGGGTATGGCCCTGGAAGACTCATTTGACTTGCTGAGTTAGCTCCCTCTTTCAGTCTTTTTTTTTCTGGCCTTGCCTGGGTGGATTCGCTGCCTGAGTGGGGAGATCTCCTCCACCCACTTAGGCTTCCCAGGCTGCTCTTCCTGAGCAGACGGCATGGAGCACCTCCTCCCTGCGGTCCTCAGGGCTTTAGTCCTCCCGAGGCTCCCCAGGCTCAGCGCTCTCTGTGGGCAGGTGCTGGGCCAGGTGCGGGATTCCCGCACGCAGGTCCCCGGGTCCCAGGAAGAGCCTCGCAGGAGCCTCTGCCTCCAATTCCGCTCCGCAGCCGCCTGGCAGCGCCTCGCTCTGTTTGGAGGGCGCTGGGCTGCTGAGTCCCGCGCAGGGAGGGGCAGGGAGAGTCTCAGCCCCATCCACCCTCTCCCTCCCCCAGATCTAGGAGGGGCGAGCAGGCACGGATCTGGGGCCAGCACCGGGCCGCAGGCGCCCCTTCCTGCGCACACGCTCCCGGCGCCCGCACTCCCCAGGGCGAGCGGCCTCGGACTGTGGCACTGGAAGGCGGTGCACCCGCCAGCTAATGGGTGCCTAAGCGCCAGGAGGGAGCTGTGCAGATCGGGTCACCAGACTCCTTCTCCCCCTTTCCTCCCCCCCCCCCCCCCCCCCCCCCGAGCCCGCGGGCTGAGCAAGAAACCAACGCCAGCCGCCGCTGCGCTCCTATAAATAGCGCGCTCGCTCCGGCTCCGCGCTCCCCGGGCTGCGGAGGACAGAGAAAGTTGCGCGCGGGGACTCAGGGCGTGCTGGTGCGGCACCGGCAGGAGAGGACCCTGCCAACCCAGCCGCCCCGCACCTGGAACCAATCCTGCGAATCTGCGCTTCGGAGCTGGGCATCTGGCTAGCCGCTGCCTACCTGCGGCATCCGAGCCACACCGAGCTAGCGGCGGGGAATGTTTGACCCAGCAAAAGTGGCAGCCGCTTGAGCCCCTGCCATGCACACAGCTTCGCGATCCTCTCCGCCTGGGAGACAACTTCCGCCACTGTGACCGGTCCCTGCCGCCGGCCAGACGCCACAGGACAGCCTCCGCCCTGCTCCGCAACCACCGCTCCGAGGCCGCTCTGAGTCCCCTTCGTGCTTCCCAATCCGCGGTTCACCAAGGGGGGGGGGGGTGCTTGGGTTTGGGGTGAGCATTTACTGCCAGTTTCTCCTCTGAGGCGTGAGTGTGAGGGTTTGGAGACTTCTAGATGTCTGGCAACCAAGGGGGCGGGTGAAGGAGCCCCAGGCAGGGCTGGCTCCCGGGCGGAGGAGGGGAGTAGGGGGTTCTGCATGAGCTCCTTAAAGGACAAAGGTAACCGAGCTGGCGAGAGCTCGCGAGGCAGACTCTGATTTCAAACCGGAGCATCAGCGGAGGTGAGAGCGCCGCCGCCGCCGCGTCTGCAGCGCTGTCCATCTAACAACCGCCAGTGCCTTCCCAGCCGGTCCCGGGAGCGGGCGACGCGGGCGAGCCCAGCACCAGCCGCCTCGGCTGCCCCCGAGCTCACCATGGGCTCGGCGAGCCGGGCGCTGTCCGTGGTGCCGACTGTGCTTCTAGCCCTCGCGCTGCCCGTCTGGGCGCAGAACGACACGGAGCCCATCGTGCTGGAGGGCAAATGCCTGGTGGTGTGCGACTCGAACCCTGCCACAGACGCGAAGGGCTCCTCTTCCTCCCCGCTGGGCATCTCGGTGCGGGCGGCCAACTCCAAGGTCGCCTTCTCGGCGGTGCGGAGCACCAACCACGAGCCCTCGGAGATGAGCAACAAGACGCGCATCATTTACTTCGATCAGGTCAGATCCCCCGGGATGTGGGGCACCGGGGCTAGGCGGGGGCCCCCGCATTGCCGGCTCAGATCTGGCCGCCTGCAAGGGCTGAGCTCATCTGATTGGGATGTGGGGGATCGTTTAGGCACTCAGCTCCCCAAATATGCCTGGGACTGAAACTTCCAGTGTCTCTCCTAGCCCCGTTCCCCCCTGGACTCCGGGAAAGGCTGCTGGGCGGCAGGACAAAGGCTGAGGACACAGGGCTGGGCAGCAAGAAAGAGCTCAGGACAAGTTTAGCAGCAACAGGTCCAAGGAGCTGGTGGGAGTCTGGTGCCTGGACTTTGCAATCTCTTGGCCAGAACTCGGCCCCTGCCTCTGACCGCTGTCTGCAGGTGCCAGCGGGCTGTCCCCTGGGGCCCTCCACACGCAGTGTACATGATTTGTTTCTCCCAGCTGGGTGGGCATTCTGCAGAGATCTTGCAGATGGCCGGAGTGGGTGCGCAGTGGCCAGGGTTGGTCTAGCTCGCCTTTGGCTGCTGGGATTCCCTACCACACCTCAAAGGCGCAGCTGAGGGGAAGCCCTTCTATGGAGCTTGCAGAAAAGTTGCGGAGGCAGAGGCAGAGGGAAAGGAATTGGGCAGCTGCGCTGAGCTGCACTGAGCTGAGTTGAGCGGCAGAGGGAAGCGCTGGAGGGCCTTGGCTCTCCCTTTCCCTGCCTGTCCTTTCAGAGAATTGCAAATTACTGGGAGAGGACAGGCTTTTGGGCTAAGGGTAGGGGCTGGTGGAAGAGCTGGTGAAATCCATGGCTGCTTTCAGAGACCTGGAGCTCAGACGTTTGGCTGATGAAAACCCCCAGGATATTAGCTCAGCACTAGCCAGGAGTCATCACTGATTCCGGGGCTTTAATTTCCACCCTAACTGCACCCAGAACCTTTTCATTTCCAAAGTCACACGCGGAGCCCACGTTTGTTTCGAAAGCCACAGGCGTGAGAGTATAGGTGAAGAGGCACTGCCTTCGCATGTGCTAGGGAGGGAATGAGGTGACAGTAGGTTCCTTATTAATGTTTCCTAAGCAATGCACTCCTGCTGGCCAGAGACAGACCAGGTGTCTCTGGGGCTTCCTGTTCCTATGGGACAGCCACAAAGCAATGCACTTTAGGAGTGCAGTGCTTCCTGTCTTGACAGAAGCCAAGGCTAGCCCCTCCCCTGGCTTGTACTTCAGTGCAGTAATTAAGTGTCCGGATGCTGTGGGCACTGCACTGTCCTGTAAATGCATTCTTTCAATGATCGCTCCTGCAATTAGGAGAGGAGAAGGCTTTTTCCTCTGCCCAGGAGCCATGCATCTTGGAGACAAGACATACTTAGTGATAAATCTCTATGTGCCTGGATGTCTAATTACAACGTCCACCTCCAGCCTTGTGTGCAGTCAACACTCACGGGCTCTTTCCCTTATTACTAATGAACTATGTATCTGCCTCAGGAAGTCCCCACTAAGTTTCTCAAATCACTTTAAATGTGCTAGGGAGAAATTGTTGTAAAGCGTTGCCAGGGATTACTGTGTGGCTGGGGATTTGCTGTCGGAAAGTCCTCGATCATCAGGTCAGAGAATGAAATCTGGTGCTGACTTGGAAGAACATGAAATCCCAGAATAGCATTGTCCACATACATGCAGTTTAAGTCAGGGGTCAAGCCTGACCGTGACTATATTCTAGGGCATTGTTCAGAGGTAAAAAGGAAATTATGCTAATGGGTTACTATTGGAATGAATGTGTTGTTTAAAAGAGATAGTAGCAGATTGCCTTTGATATAGGGGAAATGTGTCCTTTAGGGCCATCTGTTTTTTTTTTTTTTTTTTTTTTTTTTTTTTTTTTTTTTAATGCCACCTATATCTTGAGGAGAAATGGAAGAAATCCTAGTTATTTTTCAACTCTTTCCCCCCGCTCCCAACTCTTTCTCCTCTCTCTCTCTCTCTCTTTCTCTCTCTCTCTCTCTCTCTCTCTCTCTCTCTCTCTCTCCCTCCCTCCTTCCCTCCCTTCCTCCCACCCTTCTTTCTCCTCTCTCTCTCTCTCTCTCTCTCCCTCTCTCTCCCCCCCTCCCTTCTCTCTCCTCCCTCTCTCTTTTAGAAAGGAAGGGACTTAACTAGAGATGTTTGCAAATTTGGTTTAAGAGGTAACTTGTTGAAATTCAAAGTTCATTTCATAAACAGTAGATCCAGATTGAGAGTCTTTGAAAACAAAATGCATTGTGGCTTTCTTTGGGAAGAGTACCCGATTCCATGCTTATTTTTTGACCACTGAAAATTTTAAATAAAGAGCAGGTGGCTGATGAGAGGGTGACAGCCAACCTTGGAGGAGCAGGAGAAGGCCCCCTAGGTCACAGTCTGCTTGGATGCACACCTCTTCTGTGGCAGCTTTTAAAAGCTGAGTCATTGCCAAAATGGAATTAAGGCCTAGATGGCACAGGAATGAAAAACGGAGAGTTTTGGCGGAGACTCCGGGGAGGGCCAGCCTCCAGATCACTCAGTGCACCAGCTGCTCAGTGCCATGGATTATGGCCTGTGCGGAGGGGGTGCCCGGGCTCTGTGTGGTGTGTGCAGGGAGGACCACAGGGAGCCCACGAATGCTGATTGGCTGTGTGGGAAACACCATCTCCGGACACTGGGAAGGCTTATCGAGGGTGGAATGTAAATACATGGCAGGTTCCTTTTATCTGACTCTCACAGTTCAGCTGATAAACCCATAAGCCCTCACATGTCACCTCCACGTTCCCAGAGCCAAGGGGTCTTGCTGGAAATTGAGGCATGAATACAAAGCAGTTACTTCATATTTTCCTCTATCATTTAGGAGACAGAAGATCCTTCCAATATACAAATCCATTTTTTTTTAAGTCGCTAAAGAGAAAAGGAACAGAACTCAATATTTTATTCTTTATAGTTTCTTAAGCTAGTTGTAGATTAGGAAAATAAAAGAGAAAGAGAAAAAAAGGGAGGAAGGAAGAAAACACACCTACAGAAGAGAATATTATAATAATTTGCTGTTACTTATTATTTTTTACTTGTAGATCCTAGTAAATGTGGGTAATTTTTTCACCTTGGAGTCTGTCTTTGTGGCGCCAAGAAAAGGAATTTACAGTTTCAGTTTTCATGTAATTAAAGTCTACCAGAGCCAAACAATCCAGGTATGTGCTTTGACCTGTTCCCTTTCTACCCCCAAACAACAGTGTGTATTGGTTGTGGGTTATGTATTTATGTATTTATCCAAATATGTGCTGTCACTGTAAAAATAAACAACCATCCACAGCAGTTTATTTTTAAAACACTTAACTTCTAATCTTCTCCTTTATAGCCTCTGCTAGGCATGTGACAAGAGCATATAGAAAAATCAAACTTATTACCTTAATAACAACCAGCCATTAAAAAAAAAACAAAACTTGGCTTTGGATAAATGGTGATGAACAGAGACTTGACTTGGGGTGGTGAACACACAATACCGTGTACAGATGATGTGTTATGGAATGGTGCAACTGAAACCTGTATAATGTTGTTAACCAGTGTTATCCCAATAAATTCAATGAAAAGGAAAAAACAAAACAAAAAAATCCCGCACGGCTTAGTAAAAACTCAGTGACACAAATCTCCATAACAACTTGATTTCATTTAGTGCCTGTGCAAAATCATTTCAACTTGTAGGGATAAAACTTGTAAGACCAGTAGAGTTTCACAAGTGTTTATTAGAAAACAAACAAATTTGCTATCATTGTTATGAATTAGGAGAAACAGTTTACTAGTAAGAATACATTTATGAGTAACTCACAATTATCCAATATACTTTTTTAACAAGAGTGTGCTATGCTTATGCTTTAGTTCACCCTCAGTTACCCTGGTGAATTCTTACCAATTGCAGTTCCAGAGTGAACAATGTATTTTGTGTTGTGCTTTCTAAATAATGGGCTTGAGCTTACACTCAAAGGCAACCATGGGCCTAGTTCCTATAATGTTTAAATGTGCGAACACCCAATGACACCAATACGTGTCTATGGAATTCTAGGAACATGTCATCTTTTGCTCAGTATTTGTACTGTGTGCTATGTCCATGTGAAAGATAGATTCTCCAATCTACCACTTTTACATTTCTTAGTGAATAAATAAATTGATCAACCTCAGGTTTAATTAATTCAATATTATTTTTTTTAACTTAAAAAGGATGAAGAGCTAGAAAACAAATTCTATATGCCATAGAAAAGCTTTTCTAGACCCCACTATTTGGAAGTTAGTGTAATGTTTAACACAGTCTGATCAAAGTTATAGTATGAAGAAAAGTGAATACATGTTGAGCTAATTGTTTGCTAATAATTTTGAGTTTATTAATGATTAATTCTTTACTAATTAGGCATCATTAACATCTTCAATGGTAGTGGTGATCATTATTTTAAACACATATTTCTTATTAAGGGAAACAGAAAAGAAACCACAGTGCACACACAGTCCATGATTTAAGATGATTTTCAGCAGAATGCATATCATGGCTGCATAGTGATCTGCCCAGAAGTCGGTAGAACTTTGCTATATCTGGTGTATCAGGGTGAAGGGTGCTGGGCCTCTTTTACTAACACACTAGGAAGCTGCAGGCCTGCTACCTTACCGAAAGATTGCTAATGAACGTCAGAGGTAAATACAGTAGTAAGCTTAAGTTATATGTGACAGGTAGCCAGTTTCCACCAACTAGGCTGCTCTCCATAGATGGTACTCTCTTGTAGGCATTTAAGGACATTTCTATGAAAGAAACTCAATTTTACTTTGAACAGTCCCCAGCCCAAGCTCAGTAGCATACATACTAAGTCTAGCCACTGCACTTGGCTGATTTGAAAGGAAAGGGATATCTTTACTAAACATCAACTATTTCCTCTTGGGTATTATTTGTTAACCCTAGCAGAATTTTTGACTTTAAGGAGAGCTTAGTGACTTTTTTTTTTTTTCTTGTAGGTTAACCTGATGTTAAATGGAAAACCAGTAATATCTGCCTTTGCTGGGGACAAAGATGTTACTCGTGAAGCTGCCACTAATGGAGTCTTGCTCTACCTGGATAAGGAGGATAAGGTTTACCTAAAACTGGAGAAAGGTAACCTGGTTGGAGGCTGGCAGTATTCCACGTTCTCTGGCTTCCTGGTGTTCCCCCTATAGAATCAGTTTCTCCGTGGCAGTCACCAGGTGAGGGGCGGCTCACCGCTGAGTTATTGGAAGATCATTTTCTCATCCTCGGAGTGATGTCTTTTATTGGTTTCATGGGTCAGTATGGATTCTCTTTCAGGATCCCAGGCCTGTCAGGACCAACCCAGCTTTACTGATTACTTTTGCGTGCGTGCGTTCCCTATGTGTGGATCAGGACTCGGCAGACAATTCCTATCTGTGCGTCCGTGTAACCGTTATAGACTGTCTGCAGATTCCTTCTGAGTTCAATTTCCCAGAGTTACTAAATTTGTTGCAGATGTGGATTTTTTTCTATTTGTTTTTGAAAGACTGGCAAGTGAGTCTAAGAAGAAGAAAATGCAAGAGTTCTGACTTCAATCAACTTTTAGTGTGAAGCTGCCAAAGAACTTGCCTGTGTTGGTATATTAGTCATGTGTGTTCTGATTCCTTTGGACTCGATTTGTTTTGTTCAGTGTAGGAACCTGGGAATTGTTTTGCAGTGACTGGTTTTGTGTTTTCTCTGCCAATAGGGTAATGAATGGCTTGCCCTCAAACTTACCCTATAAGATCCCCAACATGACTTCCCTTGAAAAAAAAGAATGCTTCATAGTTTTATTTTAATTATATATGTGAAAGAGTCATATTTTCCAAATTATATTTTCTAATAGGAAGAATAGGTCATAAATCTGACAGAGAAAAGGTTGCTTACCTGAGTTCTACCTGCTCATCCCCAAATCTCCCCAAATCACTCTCCTCCACGGGAAATCTTATACTTTGTTGCTTGACTTTAATTAACATAATTGATGATAATCACTTTATTAAAAACCTAAGGGACTTTTCCCCTTAGCCACGACCACTTTATTAACAGGAGATGGGATGCCCTTGTTTTTAATTATATTTATGTTTCCAACCTTCTGTTGTGTTTGAAGTATCTTCTGGTTTTGCCTTAACTCCTTGAATTGTATATATTTATCTGTTTAGCTGATATGAAATCCAAATATCCCATATTTAAACTTAGTGCAATATTTATTTTGTCTTTTGTACAGATCATATGAATTCATAAAATTATGTCTCTGTTATAGAATAAAAGTTAATATATGTTAGTTGAATTTTGTCCATTCGTTTTGGAAGTGTGTATTCTGCTGAATTTATTTCCTCTCTCTCACCAATCTTTTCCCTCTTCCTTTCTTCCTTCCATCCTTCCTTTCATTTCTTTTTCCTGGAGTTGAATGAAAGCTTTCTGGATTTTCAGGGACAGTCCTCTGAATTGGCATATGGAACTTTATGTGTTTAACCTGTCCAACCAGGAGCTGTGCAGAAGGCCCATGAACTTGGCAACTCTTCTGCCAGAGGACTTATTGTTAGGAAGTTACGTTAAAAAAATCCCCTAAAATTCATTTACTGAGTGTGCTCAGTAAGCAAATGAGTGGTGATAAGTAAAAAGAACGATATTCCCAAACTGAGGACTTGAGGGACGCATTCTCTCCTTTTCTCAACACCTTGAGGCACGCAGAACACCGTGGGCTGCTTTTTAGGGGGAACTGTTATCACCAGTGTCTCTTCTGGAGATTTGGCACCATTTCCTGGTCTGTTGTCAATTAACACAATTTTGAGAGCCCCTCTTCTGAAGCTAGTGGCAGCGAGGAGGGTTCTATGGAGTCCTGTGGGAGAAAACACGCAGGCAGGGCTTCCAGTATAATGGTGATTCATTCATCACAGGAAGGCTCCCCAAGATAAATTATCTGGCAATCTTGGAGATGGATCCTCAATGTTTTGCTTGGCAAGATATCCCTCAGCTGACTTTCAGTTAAAAACTGTCCCTCCTCTGTGATCATGAAATTCAATGGACTTTATCTTCGTGTGAGCAGATTGCGCTGAAAGTGGGCTCTGCCATAGTCTGTATTCAGAGCTCGAGTCTGTATGTGGCAGCTGAGTGGCTCTTGCTGGAATGAGTGTACCATTCATCCTCATTTTAGCAGAATGGCTTCAGTATTGGAATTACCAATAGATACTTGCAATGGGCTGGAGAGTTTGGTGTGTAACAAAACAGACCAGTGTGGAAATGGCTGTTATATACATGCCGTTGGCCATCCTTTGGGGTTTGCCCTTATCCTTCCTGATTTTTCCTGAACACAAAAGAACATCAGCAGAAGGCTTGCTTTTAAATCCTAAGCCCCACTGTATACATATTGTTGCAGAAAACATTCAAAACTTTCAAGATGAAACCTATACAAAAAGGCAGTGAAGCTGTGGCTATCAAATGTGGGGGTGTCTGCAACAGGGGACCCCAGTGGAGGAATGAGGTCACTGATTAACAAAGCTGGAATGAAAGCCATAAGTGCCTAGCCCAAAGTAGGTGTAGGAAGTAAGAGCTACCCAGAACATAGTGGCTGGAAAGATGAGACCGAAGTGAGGGAACATAGCTACAAGGGACAGAATGACTTAGCCAGGGGAGCTTGGATTTTGGAGAGAAGAGGGTAGAATTCCACAGCCTTCATTTACAAGCACTGTGACCTTGGACAGGTCTCTCCACCTCTCAGAGCATCAGTGAGTTGTTTCATATGTAAACAGAAATGGTTGTGAGGATTAAAGAATACATGTGCACATAGTAAGGACTCAACTAAGGACCTGTAATTATTACTAGACTCTAAAGCCTTCACAGAGGCAAGTAAGGCAGAGGGAGGATGTAAAGTTGGCCCGAGGAAGGCATAGAAAGTGAGTAGGGGTGGGACTGGTCGGAAGCGGGAGGCAGTGGTGTCAGAAATATTTCCAGAAATGGAGCCAGATGCTCTGTGTATTCCATGGCTTGAAAAATAGTTTTCAGAAACTGCTCGGTCCACAAAAATGCTAATTGAATGCAGTATTTGCATTGGCTCTGTCCGCATTCATCAATGCCAGCGCCATCCCTTCCTGGATGCTCCCATCTCCTTTGACTGCTCCTTGATCTATTGATCAACAAAGGCGAGCATGGTCTGTAGCAAGCACTTTCTCTGACAGAATCCCGGGAAAACAACACTGAAGGAAACACAGAGCCTATACCTCAGATCTCACTGAGCCAACTGTTATTTATTTGTTTATTTATTTATTTATTTATTTATTTATTTGGGGGGTGGGGGGAGATGAGGAGGGTTACTCATGATCCCAGATTCTGCTAGAGCCTGATTATCTCATTAAGATTTAATTTCAATTTTTTTCTTTTAAAATGTAGGTTGTATTCTCATTTCCTTTTGTTTCTCAGTCTTCTTTCGGCCTCTAGTTTTAGCAAGTTAATGCTTTAAATCTCCAAGTAAATATCTTTAACCGCTATTGATTAAATTTTCCTTATATTGCGTCCCATACTTTGCTAGGTGCTGAGTTTATAGAAGTGGAGACATCTGCTCTTTTCAGGTCTCCCTGAAGGTCAAACAGCCACAGTCTTCTCAAGAGCCCAGCAGTCTGAGTGCCTGGTTCTGTTTCTCCTTCTGACTGAGGATACTAGGGTTTATCAATCCTCCTTCACCATGTAACTACCTGCCCCTAAAATGATGGCAGTCTATTGGTTACAGCAAGATCCCCAAATTGGTTGATCTAATAATCATTGAGAAGTAATGAAAACCAAGAAAGGTGACTGCAATGCAAGCAGTTCTCACTCAGAGCTGTGGAGCTGAAGCTGAATTCTTGTCCCATGTGGTCTAACAGGGCAGGAGCTAGGATTTAAGAGGCTCATTTCCAAATAGTTTACTCTGTTCCCTCCAACCCAGGCAGACCTTTAATGTGGGTTTAAAATCTCTTAGAATATGCTTTTCCTTGCCCCCCTCTGACCATTCTGTGGGAAACAACTTTGAGAATCTGGTCCTGAAGTTCTCCTATATCATCTTCTCAAACTAATGGACATAGAATTATCTGAAAACTTAATGAAAGGCAGATTCTGATGTCTCAGGTCTGGGGTGGGGCCCTAGAGCTACATTTATAAGGATCCTCTGTGCTCACAGTTTAGGGGGAGAGAGGTGGGCTATCTCTCTTCCTCTGTCTCTCCTTTCTTTTTCTTTTTGGGTCATGCTTTAGCTTTGATGTCAAGACACAGTTAATAAAAGAAAAAAAAATGTAGGGAAATGGATGCAGGTTGAGTGGCTATTTCCACATTATTTTCCCCCCTTAGGACAAGAGGAGAAAATGACTTAAAGTGACCTAGTATGCCAGAGAGAAGGGGAATGGACTAGCCAGCGCAGTCTGGGTCCCTGTTAGGGTGGGAGTCTAGTGACCTGTGCAGCCAATGAGGCTGAAGATCATGGAGTTGGAAACCAGTGCTGGTGGGTGTGGACATGTCCCATGACAAGGGACAAGGCTAGGGTGTCGTCATACAGGAAAGAGGGCTGGTACCATTGGCCAACGAATTGAAGGGACACATCCTCACTGGACACTCAGGTCAGAACATATGACTGGGCCCAAGTGAGATGACACCATCTCTGTTCTATACCTTGTCCCCCACTGTTTTGACTGCCCCGTTATCCTGTTTAACCAATGACTGTGGCCAGTCTGCATGATTCAGCCCTGGGGATAGGATTTGGGCTCTTGGATCATGTTCTGTGTTTTCACAAACGTATCTAGCTATCTTTGTAAGTTTTTCGGGGTCTTTCTTCTACCTCCCTGAGCTATCTGGAAACACCTAAATGGGGAGGAGTGTTTCTTTTAAAGTATCTTGACTTTTACTTTGAGTCTTATGTGAAATGAGTCATGATTTTTCTCCCGTGATGCAAACGAAAATGGAGCAAGGACTAGCAGGAGAGGCATTTGATAAAAGAAATAATGTTCAAGGTTCATAAGAAAGTTCCACAAAACATGGAGGAAAAAACGACTGATACAGTTTCATTGGTATCTGACATGCCAGTTAAATGGAAAGGACTACAATTGATTCTGGTTTCTGTTCGAGTTGTTTTCTTCCTTCTCTCTGAGTCACAGTCAGTTGCCTGCAGGTGGGATTCTGTTTCACCAGCAGGGATTTCAGCTCCTCTTCA